CAAAGGCAGTGGGTGCACGTGGCTCCAGAGGCAGAGAGGAGGAGGTGAGGCACAGGGGAGGGCAGTGAGCACAGCACCACCAGCCCCAGCYGGGCAGGACCCCCTCCCACCCCCAGGGTAACCCCAGAGCTGGCCAAATGTGCTGCCAGGCCCTGTGCCCTGTCCCCAGCTGTAAGGAAATGCTGCTGCCTGGGGAAGGATTGGGCAGGACAGAGAACTAACTCCCTGTGAGCACCAACACGAGGGCAGAGAACCTACACCTGCACCAGGAGCTACGGATGGGGGCAGCTTCAGTCACCAGGGCCCCAAACGTCTCTGGGGTACAGCACAGACGAACTGGAGGGGCAGGGCAGGCCAMGGGTGGCTGCTGTGGCTACTTCTTCTCCTGCTTCTGCTGCTGGTGGGTCTGGATGGTGATGGCTGCCCTCTCAGAGGGGTCAATGACCTTGCTGTCCTTGCGGCCATCAGGGGTCGTGTCACCTGTGGGGACAACAGAGCATCACAGTGAGCACAGAGGGTGCCAGCAGCCCTGAAGAGGCTGCACAGAGCAGGGCAGGGCTGTGGCATCACCCCCATGGCATCACCCCCGTGGCATCACCCCCGTGGCATCACCCCATGGCATCACCCCCGTGCCATCACCCCCGTGGCATCACCCCCATGGCATCACCTCCATGGCATCACCCCATGCCATCATCTCCATGGCATCACCCCCACGGCATCACCCCATGGCATCACCCCCATGGCATCACCCCCCTGGCATCACCCCCGTGGCATCACCCTCATGGCATCACCCCATTCCCCAGACATCCACCCCCATTCCCCTGCTGCACAGCTCACAGCACAAAACAAAACTTCTTGGGCTCGCAGGGACATCTCCAGGCCAGAGGAGCAGGGAACGGGAGGCAAAGCAAAGCCCAGCCTCCCTGGCAGTGCTGAGCCCTCTATTTACACAGCTCCACTCCCCGAGGGCCGCAGCTTGCCCACGTTTAATCACCACGTATGATGCTCGCTTACTTTCGCGCACACAAATAAGATTAGAAAAAAAAAGCCCGGCCCTGCGCAGCAATAAAGCTCTCACGCTGACAAATGGGAGCCCTCCCCGCTCCCGCTTAATGTGGCATTAGGGAAGTATTGTGAAATTCAACAGGAACTGCATCAAAGGCACTCAGCAGTGCTCCTCTAAGCCACTGTGTCACCGCTAAGCACCCCCCGAGCAGCCATCAGCAATCCTGGGGCCAGATGCTGCTGCACAAACTCACCGCTGCCACCTGAACCCATTTCCCTCCCCAGCCCAAAGAAACTGCCGAGGAAAAGAGAAATAAAAGGAAAGAGTGGGCTCCCTCCTGCCCCACTCAAGCTGTGAATTCTGCCCAAGCCAAGGGCAGAGGATGAGGATGGGCACTGCTGGGCACTGGGACGATGAACCCCGGCTGTGAAGCTCTGCCAGAACCACCCCTGGCAGCCCCAGCAGCCACAGCAGGGCAGTGAAACCCCCAGCCCATCAGCAGGGCAGTAAATCCCCAGCCCAGTACCCACAGCAGGGCAGTGAAACCCCCAGCAGGGCAGTGAAACCCCCAGCCCATCAGGAGGGATGGCACCCCCAGCCCCCACCCCCCGTTATCCGCTTGGCACCGAGAATAGAGCTGCTCAAATCCTCTTTGCTGAGCGCTGCAGAGCCTGGGAGAGAAGACCAAAGAGAGGAGGGGGTGGTTCCAGGGGGTTTGCTCAGAACATGGGCAAAGGGGGCTGTTTTGGGGGACAGAATGAGCATGAACCCACCTGAGTGAGTGGGGCAGGGCTCCTGGGGGAGCAGGGATGTGCACAGACACACAGGGGGTGTTAACATTCAGCCCTGCTTCTCTGGGGGTGTTAACATCCAGCCCTGCCTCACCGGGACCTTCCCAGGCTGATGCTACAAACACCTTAACAAATATCTCACCATCAAACGCCCCTTAATAACATCACAGGYAGATTTTTGGAAGGAGAAAGAGGCCGAGAATGATGCAGGTACTGCAATGCTCCATGCACAGCCCCAGCCATGGGTTTCACCATTACTTGGGTTGTTTGGGGTTGTTTTTTTCTGCTCACACTCACCTTTCTCTCCAGAAAGCGAGTAGATGCTGTTGTGCCGGGAGTTCCTGCCTCTCTAGAAAGGTAGAGAAATAAAATCAGATTTAGTTCCACCCCAGCAGAGGCAGCAAGGGCAGCCCCTTTCAGGCCAGCTGGGAAACTTTCCACTGTCCATTCCCTTCAGGAAATTGGAACATGCTTACTGTTGTTCCCTTAAAGAGTACTGATTAATTAATCTGCATTTATGAAAAGAGCCCCAAGGAGAGGCAGGAAACAGCTTTGCATCCAAAGTCAGAGCTGTGAGATGCTCCAGCCCTCCTCAGGATGGATGTTGGCACAGGCTGTCCCCACTGGATCTGCATTTCAAACCAGGAAGGAGGTTTGAACCTGCAGCTTCTGGGCTGCCAGCTCTTCYAGTGGCTATTCCAATTTCTACAAATAAGCTTGAAATTGTCTGCAAATGCCTCTCCACCATTTTCCAGCTCACCCTGCCCTCGTGGCACCCCATTTCCCCCGCAGCAGGCACTGCCATGCCCCCAGAGGGGCTCTCACCTCGCTGTCGCGGCTGGTGCGGCGGCTCTGGGACACGCACTGGATCTGCCAGGGCAGGGGTTGGTACACCAGGTATGGCAGGGGCTCCTCACGGAACAGGTTGGTCCCCAGCTGCACACACATGGAGAGTTTCCAGCAGGGAAGAGCACGGCACAGGGACAGAAAGAGCTGCTCAGCCACAAGCAGAGATCACAATTCCCTCTGGTCACTCATTTTGGGACAGCGCTGACCCCATGGATCCCCCAGGGGGGTTGGGGAGGCTCARGCCATTCCCAGCAGGGCAAGCAGACATTTCTGCCCCCTCTCCCTGCCCCGACAGAGCAACAACAACACAGGAGCCACGAGCCCTCCCTGCAGCCCCGACTCACCTGCCTGACCGCCCTGACCACGAAGAACAGCGCTGTCATCAGAGTGCCCAGCATGGCCGGGGTGTGCAGGGGCTCCTCGGTGTCCTGGGGAGGCTCAGCTCAAGCAGCAGCACCCCGGGATGTCCCAGAGCCAGCACTGAGCTGTCCCTCGTKTGCAGGCACAGCCCAAGCCCCTTAAGGAGCTTACAGCCCCTGCTCAGGTAATCGGGATCTGCCCTTTTGCTCTCCTAATCGCCGAGTTTCTCCAGCAGACACACCGCTGGCATTCCAGGAAAGGCAAATCCTCTGYTCCACGCACACAGGCACGGCAGGAGCATGGCCAGAGGGGCACAGCCCAGCCTGGCTCAGCTCTGCTCCGTGGGAATGGTCTCAGCAGGGTCACAGCACACTCAGGAGCATCCCACACATCCCAAACAGGATTTGGGATGTCTCAGAACCACCCTGAGCTGCTCAGCACCAGGGTAGGACCTTTTTCCCCACAAGTGCCTGCCTGGGGCAGCTCCCAGAGGGCAAAAACACCAGTGCATCTCATGGAACGGGGCTAACAGAGCCTGGGGGTGGTTTGTTCTCTTTTCCAGGACAAATCCCTCATCCTGCTCCCCCCGTGCCTCAGCAGCCCCTCCAGCTCCCACCAGCTGCTGCRAGGAGATGGGAACAAGTGATGGAAAAGAAGAGCACGTCACCAATCCCTCCCAATTCCTGCTGAGAGCGTTACTCAGCCATCCCAGCAGCACCAGCACGATGCTGGGACAATTCCTGGCTGCTCCCAAACCCACGGGAAATCAGCAGCAAGAGCCAACCTACAGCTGAGAYGTTTTGAACAGATCCCAAGTTGCCAGAGCGACACCTTGTTTTCATTTTCTAGTTTTGGCTTTTAGCTTTCTACCTGGCCTGTCCAGATAAAAGAAATAATGGTAACAAAGGCACAGTGAGTTTCAGCAGTCTTGGGAAATGACCTTGACGAGACAAAACACGAGACAGCCCAGAGATGAGCAAGGGGAGATGTGAGAGGTGAGTACAGCTGGATACCCAGGGCTGCAACAAAACAGAGTGACAACCACCACCATCATACAAAACAGGCTCGTGTTGATTTAATTTTGTACAAAACCAGATACAGCTGCCATCCGAGGTTTTAACAGGGAAAAAAAAAAGAGCATGTTTCAAACAGAGTTATTGTTAAAGAAAATGGCATTTCCCTGCACCACTAATCCAAAATGCAGAATGGACTCGGTGATATGGCTTTGGCCACAGCAAACCACAGCTGTGGGGTCCCTTGTAAACCCCTGGCTGGACAGACTGCCATGATTCCTCCTAATATYCAGCAAACTAAAAGCAAAATCCCTGCAGGAAGGGGTTTGTGCAACACAACAGCAGAATGGATACCCGTGTTCTGATCCCTCCTTTCCTAGGAAGGAATAAGGCTGGTTGGGTAATTACAAAAAATTCTAAGAAAAAAACAGAAAAAAAAATAAAATACATACATTCTTAAAGAGTCTTTAAATGATGTTCATCAAAAATATATTTCTATTTGCATGTAAACATCCCCGTGCCAGGCTCACAGCGTGTGGGCACCCGGGCAGGGGGCTCTGCCTCCCCCCATGCCCATCCTCAGCCAGGAGGGGCTCACTCAGCACAGGGGGTGTGGGGCAGCAGCTTCACAGCCTCCCTCCAGCAGCTGGCTCAGGAGAAAGGCKTTGAAGATGGTTCCTCACAGATGGGCTCCCTTCAAGTGCGGCGTCCTCGTCAGCCAGAACGGGCGAGCGGCTCCGCAGCTTTTTAAAGCATGAAATATTTACAGTCAGCACGGAGGAAATAGTGACAAAGACAASCAAATAGCACGTTCTGTGAAAGCCTGGCTCCTCCCCGCTGCCTAGAGTGACAATCCCAAGCATCCCAGCAGGCTGGGACACCCAAGGAACAGCGCTGCACCCAGTCAGCAAAGCCACAAGGCACCGTCTCAGAGCTGAGGTGCAGGAGCTGCTCATCCCA